TCAGGGGGTGGATTAACACTCCTTTCTCTCAAACACAGGGGGACAATGGCGTTCCATAAAAGTAAGGCGATGAGTTCCATACTTTTTCCACCTCTAAAACCAATAAACAGATATCAAAATTTCATTATTTTGGTACCACATAACCTGGAAAATGAATACAATGACATGAAAGATTACACGTACCTTTGGATCTGTGCATGGGGTGTAGTCTTGATAATCAAGGCTGCATTCTGGGAAGGCAACTTCTTTGATTTGAAGTGGGGTCACAATCAATTCCTTAGGGCCTGGGACTGCTTTTTTAACATCCTTGATATCCTTACCCTCAAATCTGTTTTTCTCGGAACAAAAAGCCCCACCAAGATAGAAAGAAACTCCACATAATACAACAAGAAGTATTGTAATGGAAACAATCCTGGAAACTTTATCTGGTTGAGAATTTTGTCTCCCATCTTTGTATTTCATGGTATCAGAAAAATTTGTAAGTACCTGGACATAAGCAAAGCCAATAATCAAATTGCAGAGAATGAGAATTGCCTCATTTCATCCATTTCTCATCTTAATCTACATCAAGTTATATGGAAAGAAACGAGAAAGAAAAAGGACTATTGCACCTTATGCCATGTACTCTAAATACACCCCTCATAAATTAGAGCCAAAAGAAAACATCACTTACTCAACTAATGTAACCCTCGAAAGTTTTATTATCAGATCTTTCTAAATACTGTGGCCAAAAAAATTCAAACAGAAGACATTTAATCAGTAAAGAAAGAAACATCCCCATTTACTCTGAACTAAAACAATAAATGCACTGCTAAGACAAAACCATCAACTGAAAACATGGAAAACAAATACCAGTAGCTCAAATGTCTACAGTTGACATAGACAGGAAGACTTAGGGAAAAAGAACACAAAACAAGGGCTCAAGATTTTTTACAGCAGATCAGTTTCATGACTCCGAAGATCTAACCATAAATCATACAGAAAACTAAAAAGAACTGGGTTTCATATGAACTTTACAGCCAGTTATGGAGCATTTAAACCACCTACAAGAAATGGGGAACTATAAGATCTGCAAGCAAATCACCGACACGTGATACTTTCCAAGAGTTTTGCCTTTATGTTTCTCACATGATGTTGGGGCCCAAGCCATTAACAGACTCAAAACCAGTCCAATTCTCTTTTATCACTAAAGTAAAAAAAAAAAAAAAAAGACATAAAGAAGCTCTGCATCTAATAACAGACAATGCAAAGCAAAAAAGAAAAGGAAAAAATAATCATCATCATGAAATACAATCATTCCCTAAGAAAGAAGAAAACTGTCAATAATTTCATTTCATTTCTTTTTACTATTTACACCTTCATTAATCATTCTGACAATTGACTTCAGAAACAACAATCAACAGCAGGAAGAAGAAAACAAGCACCCCATAGTAATAAAAATAATCGCATCAAGTTCAGCCAGAAAACTGAAATTCCTTGCGGAAAATTTAGTAAAAGAGACACAAAGACCATGACAGAAAAAGACAACGACAAGTATTCTTTTTCTCCCCATGAAGAGCTAGCCACCTAGTAAGTAATAGACTATCTATATATATCAACGGAAGGGCAGTAAAAACAAAAGTGCTAATACTAAATAGACAAAGTTGCTGGGTAAAATAATCTACAAATTAGAAGCAGGGATCCACAGATCTGCTTGTCGAAAAACAAATCAATATTGGTAAATAATAAAAGTTAGTAGCCATGAAAAGCTGGGTAAAGCAAGAATGTGATGATAACAGCTGGTAAGGTAAACAGCAGGAGGTGGAGGTGGAGGTGGAGGTGGAAAAAGATCTGACCCAGAAAGTAGAAGACCAGTATAAAGAAGGACGATGAAGAATAAAACCAGTAAGGTATACAGAAAAGAGACAGAAGGAAAATAAAAGAGAATATATAAACATACTTGACTGTACCTATATATATTGCTCTCTATTGTCTGAACAAAGTAGGACCTTGAAAATTCAAAAAAACGTATACGATTTGCAGATGGGTCTCCTTGAAAACTCTCTCTCAGCACAGAAGAGTGAGGAGAAGAGCTCAGGAGAAAGGGATATGCAGTAAACTGATCTCCTTCTCTCTCTCTCTCTCTCTCTCTCTCTCTCTGTGAAGTCTTAACGCAAGAAGATACAGAGAAAGGTAAATCTTAAATAATAAGAGAGCTCTCTACTACTCGGCCCCTCCTGTTTCCTGCCTCGCTGTCTTCTCGCTTTCGATTTCTTTTTTTTTTTTTTTTTTTGCTGATTATCACTTTCTTTCCTTCGATGTCTTTTCTTTCCTTTTTAAACAATATATATACACAAATATATATATATATATATATATATTTTTTGCTCTTCCTTGTCTTTTTCTTCCTATTTTTATCTTTTCCTTTTCTCGCTTTTTTTCTTTTAGTTATTTCTCCAGTTATTTTTCCTGTTTACTCAACTTCCCTTTCTTGTTTTTATAGAATATATATATATATATATATCTCTCTCACTCACAAATTTTACCCTTAAATATCTATCTTTAAAAATTATTAAATATAAAATAAGAAATTAAAAGAGTAAAGTTTTTTCATAAATTGGTTTTAGTTTCAAAATATTCTAAATGTAAAATTTTAATGAACTATTTAAAAAATGATTACAGAAAATTAGGGATAATCATTGTATATAACGTGGGTGTCACTATGAATGCTTGCTTTCATGTTGTATAAATGTGAGATTATTTTAACGTCACCAAGGTGGATAGGATATTAGTTTATGAAACGAATCACGATCTGCCACGTGTATTGAAAAAGGCTCATCTTCCATGTGCCTTTTTTTGTCACTATTGTGAGATTACCCGATAATTAATGCCTACGAATCCCACATGGATTGGACCCTGATTTCTTTGTTTATAAATACCATAAGGTCAAAGTAATTGGAAAAGAACCTTAACCAAATTGGTATATATAAATTATTATTAATTATTAAAAGAACTTTCATCATATTTTAAATTAGAAGTAACTAATACTATTAATTATAAGAGCTTAGATTTTTAATTTTTAAATAATTTAATAAAAAATAAAAAGAACTGAAACAATCTTCTTAATATGTTAGTTTCGATCATTTTTTTTTTTATTAAGATACAAGGTATTTAGTGATGATAGATTAAGTGTATTATGGTAATTTATACGTCGAAAATTAATGTAAAAATTATAATTTATTTTATTTATTAATTTAAATTTAAATTTAAATAAAATTTTATTTTTAATTATATTTAATTCATGTTTATTTTTTAAATATCATATAATTAGTGATAATTTATCTCTTACAAAATTTGATTCACGTTTATCATTTACATAGTGGTGGATTATTTTTAAAAAATTTAATTTACATGTAACCTTATTTAAATTCATTTTAAATTATTAATTTTTGAATTAAATAAATCAATAAAAATTTAAATTTTCTTCACCTAGAAAAATTCCAACATTATATTCATTATTGATAAACGTTGTTACTTATAATCTAGTATATAATATTTTCATTATTTAAAATTTACACAGATTTTGAATTGTTCTTCCGGTAGTTAATTTGACAATTATATTAATACTAAAAAAATATTAAGAAAAAAAAATTGTAACTAAAAAAATGTTTGAAAGTCTTTTATTTTTATGTCTACTATCTATGGAGAGCTCATGTCTGTTAATATTTTATAACCCCTTAGTAATTGATTTAACTAATAAAGATAGTAACTCTTAGTAAAAAAAATACTAGGAGACTATATAATTAATAAAAGATGATGAGTTTCTTTACTAAAGTAGAGAAATTTTTAGTTGTCACTTGGTGACAAGCGTGTCCTACTACATGTTTCTATATACAAATGTCAACGAGTGACGAGACAATATTCATGAATCTTTTTTTTTTTTTTCCAATAAAATATGAGTATAAAATATTTTCATATCTTTTATAAACGTTATAAAAAATATATGGACTAAATGAACTAATAAATTTCATAAAAAAAAGTTTTTAGAAATTTTTGTTTCTTGGAGATATCATATCCCGGTCGTATTTTATCATACACACTTTTTGATTTTCTAATAATATTTTTAATTTTTCTCTCCTTATACAAACTTGGCAAGTATATCATTTGAATCTTTTATTTTCTCTTTTATGGTAAGAGTTTCATCCAATAAATTTATACTTTCTAATTTATCTATTTTTATTGTAATTTATTATTTTTTTCTACTTCAATCGAGAGAGATTATGCATGTTTCTTGAGTTTTTCACTAATTCATTATGAAGTTTCTTGAGTTTTTTTTAAAGTTTCTACTTCAATAGAGAGAGAGAGATTATACATGTTTAATTGACTCATTATAAAGTTCTTTAAAGGGATCTTGTAAATTATCACATGAATAATCAAGATGAGAGTGTATCTCATTTTTATCTTCATTCATGACCATGAGACATAAGCTTGTAACTTTATTTTCTTCCTCTTCACATGAGTTATTTTCGTCAATATCACTCCATGTAGCTAAAATTGTCTTTTTCTTGAACTTCATCGAATTCTTTTTACCTTGAAGGCAATCAACTATCATATGTCCCAGTTTGTTGTACCTATAGCGAATCATATGATCTTTCTTACTTGATTCTACATTTAGGTGAAAACTTCTTTCCTCTCATTTTTTTTTCCTCATTAAACTTATAATTTTTTTTTTTGTGATGAGTGTAATTTCTTTATTATTCTCACTTTTCTTGTCACTCTTTTCATCTAAAGTAGAAGCTTTGACAGTAACAACCTTCTTCTTTTTATTTTCTTCATATTTTCTCATTTTCGTTGTGAGTTCATGGGCTAGTAGTGATCCTAAAAGTTCATAAAGGCTCAACTTATTGAGTTCTTGATTTCTTATATGGTCATTTCTTTGGCATCCCATGATTTTGGAAAATACCTAAGAACTTTTCTCATCAATTCATCATAAGTATATATACATATATTTATATATATATAAATATATATATTAAGAAACTTCAAACCATTAATGGTGATGGTGACTCTAGTAAACATGTATGCGATGCATTCATTTTTATGCATTTTAAAAATTTCATAATTATGCACTAACATATTTATTTTGGATTTTTAAACTTGATTTGTTCTTTTATGTGTCACTTCCAATTTATCGTAAATCTCTTTAACCAATTCATAAGTAGATATTTTATTATACTCATTTACATCAAGTCCATAATATGAAAAGTTCATTGCCCAAGAATTTATTAAACTAACTTTTTATCATTCTCATCCAATTCAGCTTTTAATTTCACTACGATTTCATCTTCTAGGGTTTTAATGGAAATATGTGATTAGCTTAAAATGACTTTCCAAAGATCATAATCGAAGGTTTGTCTAAATATTCTAATATTATTCTCTAATAGTTGTAGTGGTTTCTATTAAAGAAATAAGGCATGTTAGAAGATCGAACTTTATTTAATTGGGTTGTCATGAGAGATCTTTATTCTAGACAATTAAGTCATGAATAAGAGAGGTGACTCTAATATGATAGATGGTCTAAATTCTAAAACAAACCCAAGAGAGAGTAGTGAATTAAATTATTAAAGTTTTCAACTTTTTAAACACATTTCCCAACTCTTCCTTTTACACAATGCTAAAACTAAGATAACAAAACTACTTATATATTTGTCTTCACTATTTATGTAATATCCGGGTCTGAAATTTGGTTCGAAATTAATTTTAACATTAAAAAATGTTAAAAAATATATAAAAATCTATTTTTAAAATTAATAAATTTTAATTTAATGTGGAATTATAAAAAAAAAGGTTGAGGATGAAATTGAAAATAAATTTGGGAAAAAGTGGTGAAAATTTGGGTTCGAATGGTGTTTTTGAAAGAAAAATCAAAAACTGAGGGTCACAATACAATTAAAAAAAATTTTACCACGTAGGACTGCCTATCAGCAGCCTAGACGAACCGGGGTGCGCCACGTGGTAAGGCACACTAATCGGTGCCATGTGGGAGGCCACGCTGGCAATTTGCTTGCCCCGCGATCGGATGACCCAGAAGCATTCTTGCGCACGTGGACGGTCTAAATCCATTCCCTCATCTGGCACGATTGGATGGTTGCGATAAAATGCGATGAACGGTCCCGATTTGTTCCCTCTTTAAATGTCGTCGGA